GTAAACGAAATAATAATTTGATCTAAGTTAGAGTTTTTTTCTTTCCGATTTGTAAAAAAATCCTTACGTGATAGAAAAAAAAATAATAATATTATTTTCAAAACCTGCGTGGCTGAATTATGGAAAATTCATTATTAAAACCAAAACAAATTTTATGAAGTTTAAATTCGTAGGCCTGTGTGATTAGACATACACTTAATCTCTTTTGGAACACAGAGAAGAAGAAAAAAAAACTAGTAAAGTATGTATTATGCAAATATATATTCAATGTATGAATTATAAATTCGTAAACAGTCCAGATGTCATACATACAAGAAGCCATACCAAGCTTTAGTTTTGCTTGGTAATTCTAAGGATTTATAACGTTAAAATCGGGGGTTCGATTTCTCTCGGTGGACACAGCAGATAGCCTGATGTGGCTTTGTTATGAAAAACACACACATACACACATTATCACACACAAAAATTACTCTTCTGCACTGTAAAACAATGTTTAAATATACATGTGGCATAAACACATATATATAGATATCTGTATCAAGTAAGTGTGTGTTTTGTTATAGCAAAGCCACATCGAGTTACCTGCTGTGTCCTCCGAAGGGAATCGAACCTCCGATTTTAATGTTATAAATCCTTAGAATTACCATTGCCCCACTGGGTGACTTGAATGATAATGAGCAAGCAAATTTAGGGTTGTAAATCGAACCCCAGATTTTAACGTTGTAAATCCGAAAAATTACCGCTGTCCCACCGGGGACTGTAAGAAATGGAAAAAATTAGTAATGATTTTCTGTAACTCGGAATTTGTCACCGACAAGTGTATGCAGCACAATCCCTCGTTACAAAATGTGTGTAGATTAGTTGTACATAAGTTTTAAAATTCGTAAGAAAATATTTCATGCAACTGTAATTAACCACTCGATTATAAAAATATCAATTGTTGTGAAATTTTTATCTTGCAGGAAAACAAGAAAAAGGTTTTAGTTGTGAGGTTTGAAGTACCTGCAAAAGTGCCCCCCCCCCCAGTGGCACAGCGGTATGTCTGCGGACTTACAATGCTAGAATCCAGGTTTCGATACCCGTGGTGGGAAGAGCACAGATAGCCTAATTACAAACAAACCTACAAAAGGGTAAGGGAACTGTGGTGATTAACTACGACTTTTGTTTAATGTAGGAATACAAATTTGACACTGTCTACACGACAATATGTGTATATAAATGTACATATTTTTTTAAAAAGCTGTTAAAAAAATTAAACTGTAAAACTTTGATCACTGAATGCACTTTGTAATTACCTTAAGATTATATTTGTCAAATGCTTGAAATTGAAGGCCGGGCGTAACCTACTGGTTAGCCTGTGTCCCGGGCTGCGAATCGCAAGGTCTAAGGTTCGCGATGTAATTCTGAGGAACATGCACCGTATTTTCAGCTGTGGTTGTGTTATAAGGATGACAGTCAGTCCCCTTTATTCGGGTTAAAGCTGAACAAAAACTTTACTGTGACGCCTGGTTAATGTAGATCAGAATTAGGGAATGCTGCTCCTAGACCATAGAAAGTTCTAACTTAGCCATTCAGCTCGCGTGAAAAGAAAGTAATGTTTAGTGTAAAAATATTAATATTCGAAATTAACAAAAAAAAGGGGGGGAAAGGTTGATTTATTTGTTTGTTGTATTTTTCACAAAGCTACACGAAAGCGGTTTGCGCCAGCGGTCCCTAAATTTGAAATGATAGACTATAGGGAAGGTAGCTAGTAAACACTACCCTTCGCCAACTCTTGGGCTACTCCTGTCTAACCGAATAGTGAGATTTTACCGTCACCTTATAACGCACCCACTACACCATAAATGCGGAACGTGATTGTTTTCTTCGCGTTAACGGGTCACGAACTACGAAACTTAGCCCCACACTCGTGCACATTAACCATTGGTCAGCGCTCGGCCAGGGAAGGAGGTAATCGTACATTAAAAAACATAAACAAGTATTAATTAGATTAATACAAAAACAAGCAAATAATGACTACATCTTTATAATAGTTAGGAAGGAACAGTTTGGCCCTGTGGTGGAGCTTTGAAATTCGGAGCTGTGCAACACTACAAAACATTCCACGCACTTTCAGCTGTGAATGCGTTATAAGGACAACAGTTCAATCTATTAGCATGGGTGGTAAGGTGCTGCTAATAAGTTACCTTCCCTCTGGTCAATAGTTCAAATCAGAGACAGCGTCAGATTGCCTTAGTAGCTTTCGCATAGCTACAAATAATAAACAGCTAGAAAATGTACTAAGAAATAGCATCTTGTATTTAAACTAACCGGATAAACTTACTCTCAATACCTTTCAAACTCCGAACTCTAGCGTCTAGTTAAAAAGATACGATATTCACATGTAACACTAACATTACAATAGCGTCATTGAGTGTTTTAAAACAATTATACTATTCATTGATTTACTGAACAATTGAGATTAGACGACAATAAACTGTCTGTCATAAAAACTTACTTCTTCGTTTGTAGGTTTCCTACCCCCTGTGCCACGAGGCTTAGGGGATGAAAAACTTGTTACTACAGATAAAGGAGACATAGTCAGTGAATCTTCCGATATGAAGCTGTTACAAGTAGACTGACTTTGACCAGAGGTCATCCACTCGGATTCTTCTTCCTGCTTGATCATGGAAATGGGATGGTATGATGTTGGAACGTTGACCAGTGGAAGGAGGAACTGTGGCTGGTGTTGGTGAGACTGCATAGTTAACAGAACAAAACGAAGTCAAGAAATAGTCTTGTAAAATTGACTTAAAAATTTATTTATTGTAACGATCTTCAACGCAATGTTCTACTTTGTTTTCTCTCTAGAAACAATCTTCGTTTTATTTGATAAAAAGTCAATACTTCGATTTATTCCTCTTCTACAGCCAACTAATAGTAACTCACGCTGACACGCACACTTGCAGGGGGGCTGTATGAGGTATTTCACAATAGAATCTATCCTCAAAAGAAATCCGACAACGGAATAAATAGGCTAGTATTAGTCTTTATAATATTAAAGTACCTAAAACTATAGGTAGCCAAAATAAACGGTAAAACACTGGTATTTAAAATACCAAAGATTCTAAAAGTACCTGAAAGAGCTTTGACCTTTTAAAATATTTCAAAAACTTTCAGAGGGTTGCTGAAGCTTCCGCGAGCCTTGTAAAACTGATACCTTCTGAATTTCAAGCTTTACGGTACCACTTTGGCAACTTACTGGGTACGACACAGCTCGCCCGCGCGCGCGAGCTCGTGAGTCACTCCCTATACATGAAATTCTCGAGCTCAACCACATCCTGTGCTAGACTGTAGTTCCTTAAGGTTGCGCAAGTAACTGGAAGATCTGTGACAGAAGTAATATTACTATAAGTAAACGAACATTCGAAACCGCGAAACAATTCGTTTGTCACTTACTATCATCATATGTGTACTGCGACTTTTATGTGCGAAGCTTAAAGTCTAACAGATTCAAGTCTTGGACACATACATATTCATAACTAAGGAAGCAAAATGTTTTATAAACATAATAATACGCGATCATAAAAATAAATATGACGAAAATCGCGTATAGAGTTACTAAGATTTGTGTATGCGCGTGTTTTGGTTTAGTTTGTTTCCAATACTCTCGCAAACCTACACAAGTGTTATCTATCCTAATTTTGAACTGATAGACTAGAGAGAAGATAACTAGTCGACGTCATCCACCCCCAACTTTTGGGATACTCTAATCGTATATTGGGATGGGACAATTAGATTTTTAACGTATCCATGGTCCCGAAGTAACGGGACGCGAGTCATGAACCCTCGGATCCACAGACTGTTGCACTACCATTAAGTCACGTCCGCGCCACGTATTTTGGGACGAACGTTGTAACAATTCTGACTTTACCTTTCCTTTTAATATCGGTTACTATTCCTCAGCATTGCTTTGAAAGATAGCTAGGTTTATTCTGATAAGCCGACAAAGGAGACAAATATAAAAAAAAAAAAATACAAGTATATGCTTTAAGTATTTAAAAGTATTTATTGAAAATATTGATTTTTTAACTTTTCTTCTTCTTCTCAGACTTGTTTCTGAACTGTTACTTCTTTCGTAACTCATTTCGCTGCTTTCTTCGCTGTACCATTTGTTATTTGCATAAAAAGTGATATTTTTTTTATTATCACAATGAGTATTATAATACAAAATGTTTTAGAAAAAATAGGATAATTTAAAAACGATCACATGGAAAAACTTCCCCAAACAACAGGCCAATCAATCTAAAGTGAAACAGATTTGATCGTTGAATCAGAAAATCGTTACACAAGTAATTTTGTACACAGTTTATACAACTGGTTTTCAATATCTGCCTTGGGTAGGCCTAAAGTTTCAAACTTCCTGAAACCTGCCACTTCTGTAGATCATGGTTATGGCGGGAAAGTGACGGTAATGTTTCAAATGCGGAATGTTAATTTATTGCGAATCATAATGTATATTTCAATTTAACTATAGTGATTAAAACCCATTTGAATAAACTATAAAAAATATTCTACTTTGATCAAGTAACAGCAAAACCAAATAAGCACAACAACTTCTCCGGTAGAGGGAACAAATATCTATTTATAATGATGAAATAAACCAATTGGTAATCTTTGCTTCTGTTGTTGGGCTTCCAATAACAAAATAGAGTTTCTGAAAAACATTTGTTGCAGAACTTTGACTAAGTTTAGGCTAATGACATATATATTTTTTTTTAATTTCAAAGGATAGACCTCAGTGCAAAAAGTACACATTGCAATTTGTACAAGAATGTGTGTTTAAATTGTCGGATACATACAGAAGAAAAAACAAACAAACAGGTATTTACTTTCTGCACTTTACACGTGATAGCCCCTCAGTGGCATGGTGGTAAATCTGAAGGCTTATAACGCAAAAAAACGGGTTTTGATACCCGGGAGGGGCACCACACATATATATAGCCCATTGTGTAGCTTTGTGCTTAACTACGAAGAAATAATACACGTGATAGATTGAGGGAAAAATATAAACATTATTGGTAGTTGTAAACACTGTCCACAGATGGTAGCACTTTATGTCAAATCAAAGTAAAGCAATAAAAATATAATTTTTTAAATATTGTTACGCCTCCAGTCGTTACTTAATTTTCCGTAACTTCGTTCCGACGAAACTTTAGCGACACAAGTC